GCCTCCCCACTGCTCCCATTGAACTGGTTTCTGCTTGTCCGTCTTCCTCCAGTCGTCCTCTTTGCCCAAGTCGACTTCATCGGCTTCAATGTCGTTCCATTCCTCGACCGAGCCAAAGCGAATTGTCCTTTCCTTTTTGAGCGCGTACTTCATCCTCGCTTCATCCAGGCGCAAGCATGCGTTCTCAATGAGCTTGCTGCTGTGACCTGTTACCTGGTGGCACTTAGCCTGAGAGAGGCCCCACGCCGCGCACATGCACACGACAGCTTTATCTGACAGCGGAGCGGACGCATTGCCCCAGCCAGCTTTAAATGCTGGGTGGTTGTGCTGCGGCGTCACGAACTGGCGACACATCTTCCTGTTGCAGCGGTAAACGTCACCTCTACCAGGCACGCGTCGCAGGGGCCCGAGGCGCCCAGTCGCGCACCACGGGCACTGCTCGCCAGCCTAGTCGCGAAGATGGCCACTCCGCGTCAGCATGCGAATGAGCTTGGAAGCGGATGCAGTATACATGTCTTTCAGGGCACAACTGATCTGCATCTTCACTGGCCTCGATGTGACAATCTTCTGCCCATGGCGAACATACGGCACGAACGGCATCTTGTGCGCCCCAGACGGCTTCTTGGCAAACTTCATTGCCATTCGGGCTTTCCCGCGCTTGGGCGTGCAAGTCTGAAAAGCAGCGGGTTTCTTTGCGCACGGCCGAGTCGGCCCGCCGCCGAGGCTGTCGTCGTCGTCGCTCTCGCAGTCGTCGTCGCTCTGGCAGTTGACGCGTAGCAACAAAATGCCTGGACGAGAGATGACCATGAAGATCCATCGGACAAGCCGTCTTCATCTTGGTCTCCCACGTTGCTGTCCTCTGCGTAAAGGTCAGTATACTGGTCCTCCATATCGCCATCGGACTCGCAGTCGCGGATGCTGTCGAGGTGCGCATGGACACAGCACACGCAGATGTCTGAGCCGTTGAATCAGATGACACCTCTTCCGAGGGCACGAAAGCAATCAGCTCATGCAGAAACAAATCATCAAATCAGAAACTGCGTTTTCAAAAGCTTTGTCAGACATATATGGGCAAACAGAACGCAAGCACTTGGCCGATTTGCTTTCTACAATCAAAAACCTATAGTGAGGATGCACGATGAGGATGCAAGGACCTTGGAAGGCCACGTTAGCACTCCTTCGATGGGCCAAGGGGTGGAAAGGGGAGAGGTGGGCACGACCGGAAAACTAAGGTCGCGGGATGAGGATGCAGGAGTGCTCTTGGACTTGTTCATCCTTACTATGGGTGTTGACTGTGCCCTCCATGCCAGAATCGGGAACTCTGCCGCACATGCCACGCGCCAGGGAACCATCCAACGAATCGCCATCGAACTGGCTGTCTGTCGCCGCCGCGTTACCCGAGCGAAGCAGCGAGCCCAGCCGGGGGACCAGCAGTCGCGGCAGCCGCGCCTCACATCCAAACGCCGCTTCGAGATCTGTGGCCCACTCAGTAAACTGCGCAACGGGAACATCGCCCATCACCTCCCTGCAACTGAAGTAGCGCTGGACTCGCATAAAAACCTCCACCTGCATTTCTCTGAACAGCTCGACGTCAATGGGCATCATGACGTGGCCCATCTGCGTGACCACTGTAAATGCTGCCGCAGGCAAGGGGCGAGGATCGTCTGGCGGGTAGACGAACGAAAAGTCACAGAAGCCTGCATCCTCCAGAGCCGCCCGCTCGATCATGCCCTCTCGGCGAATTGCCGCAAGTTGGACGACGTCTTGCCCGCCGAACGCCCGCGGGTGGGAGCGGGCCCGAGCGCAGCCAGCGAGCGAGAACTCCTGGTCTGGGTGGCCAGACGGCGTTCCTCCGCCACCAACTGAATGCCACGTCCTCTGCGGCAAGGGCGGGGCCGCGCAACTGTGCGTCACCAACGCAGGTTGCGGGCGCTGTGTCATCAGCCATCTCAGGCGGCTCGCCTTTCGGCCGTAACGCGCCTCTAATGCCGCTGCCTCCCTGGAGAACTGGGCGCTTGTGAGAAGAAGCCCTTGTCGCACTCGTGCGCACTCGTGTGTGTGTGTGTGGCGTGCGTGCGTGCGTGCGTGCGTGCGTGCGTGCGTGCGTGCGTGCGTGCGCGCGTGCGTGTGTGTGTGTGCGTGTGCGTGCGTGTGTGTGTGTGCGTGTGTGCGCGTGCGTGCGTGCGTGCGTGCGTGCGTGCGTGCGTGCGTGCGTGCGTGCGTGCGTGCGTGCGTGTGTGTGTGTGCGTGCGTGTGTGTGTGTGTGTGTGCGTGCGTGCGTGCGTGCGTGCGTGCGTGCGTGCGTGCGTGCGTGCGTGCGTGCGTGCGTGCGTGCGTGCGTGTGTGTGTGTGCGTTGGTTGGTGTGTTGGTGTGTTGGTGTGTTGGTGTGTTGGTGTGTTGGTGTGTTGGTGTGTTGGTGTGTTGGTGTGTTGGTGTGTTGGCGCGTTGGTGTGTTGGTGTGTTGGTGTGTTGGTGTGTTGGTGTGTTGGTGTGTTGGTGTGTTGGTGTGTTGGTGTGTTGGTGTGTTGGTGTGTTGGTGTGTTGGTGTGTTGGTGTGTTGGTGTGTTGGTGTGTTGGTGTGTTGGTGTGTTGGTGTGTTGGTGTGTTGGTGTGTTGGTGTGTTGGTGTGTTGGTGTGTTGGTGTGTTGGTGTGTTGGTGTGTTGGTGGTGTGTTGGTGTGTTGGTGTGTTGGTGTGTTGGTGTGTTGGTGTGTTGGTGTGTTGGTGTGTTGGTGTGTTGGTGTGTTGGTGTGTTGGTGTGTTGGTGTGTTGGCGTGTTGGTGTGTTGGTGTGTTGGTGTGTTGGTGTGTTGGTGTGTGTGTGTGTTGGTGTGTGTGTGTTGGTGTGTGTGTGTGTGTGCGTGTGCGTGTGTGTGTGTGTG